AGACCCGTCCTGTAGTCAGAGACGGTGCCCCACAAAAACAAGATCGTAACTGTCAAACAGTAACAAATATCTGGTCATGAGCCCGAGAAGGAGCTCGACACCAAGACTTACTGACTGACTGACTGACCGTCAGTAGCAATGTGACTTTGACTCTGACTTTGAATGAGTTCACTTGCTCAGTGTTGAGCGATATTGGCCAGCGGACAAAGGCGTGAGCACAGAAGCCGAAGAATCTACATTGTTGAGAACTGTTACCAAGAAACGACTAGGGAAGACTAGGAAAGACTCAGGCTTAGTGTGTTATGTAACGATTTGTAAAGTGTGTAGGTCAGTGACCGCATTGTAAGTTCTTGTACTTCCAGATCGTGTGTATAAGTGTTCGATAAATCAATTCACAAATCCAGTCCCCGATTATAGCCGTCCCAAAATCGTGGCAATACAAAAACAACAATTAATTTGCATGTAAAGCTACTTTAGCCTACTTTTCTTATTTTGAAAAAATAAAAGTAGGCTTAAACAATATCTATGCTGTCTGAGAGTCTGTAAATCCACCCATCAACTTTTGAATGCCTCAACTAATCTTTAAGAAACTTGATATGTACGAGTATATCACGGCACCCGAGCCCATCTCAACGGTGCACTCCGTAAGTCCCTCCCATCAGTCTGTCTCTATGTGTATCCCTCCTATCATTGTTAGGCAAAGGCTCGGAAAATTGTATCCCTCATTTCATTGCTAGGCAATGGCAAGGCACGGCAAACACGTTTCCACGGCAAAGAATGCAAACAACACTAGAATATGTAAGATTTTAGGCTTTCACGGCGGTGACTATGAAGAAAGCAGTCTTCTGGGATTTGGCACCGTGTAGAAGAATTGTTGAACGCATGTGTCTATGGATCTGTGTATCCGAGAATCGTTGCTAGGTAACAACTTGACGAACATGTTTCCGCAACAATGAAGAATTGTGGGAGGCGCTTTCTGTGCGCTCCATGTCTTATCAAAGGAATATGAACAATTAGTTCTTCCGAGAACTTCTTGTTTCCTAAATTATTTTACCTTACGATGTCTTAAGTTCTGTAACCTAACGAAACAGTCTATTGTAATATTCGCTAAATAATAAAGGCCGATTACATTTCTGCACGGAGGACTCGAACTATTTTACTACTTACGTCATGTTTAAGCAATGAACTGACATTGCAGTTATAACGAAAACTAAGATATTATGTGTTAATAATGAAATGGTATACAGACACCGCAAACACGCAATTTGAAATTGAAATCTCACTGGCCAAGGTCACCACCGCCTCTGTGCTATGGTGAATTAGGTCGTTAGTTTGTATCTTTGTAGCTCAAATGTTTGTAAATACAAAAGCTAATAATATGAAAATGACAGTTTAAATATCTAGGTGGCCCTACTGTCCTCCAGTTTGTCACCAAAGCAGTTAGTTACCAGTCGCACAAAATTATTCTATAAATATTTAATGAAATTCTTATATAATTTTACTTTTCTGCTGGTTAGGAGGATATTTAATTCTTTGGAATGTTTTATTTTAAGTATGGGGGGGCAGGGGCGGATTTTATTTCGGCATCTTTTGTAACTACATTGTAAGGACATTTCATTTGCAATTAAAGTTTGTTGGTATAGTTCAAGAATTTTCATAAATGTCATCAAAATACAGGTGTATATATGCAGAAATTATAGAAATTTGAATTTTTTTAGAACTGCGGAGGGCCTATTTTATTGTCACGTATATGTGTGACTAGAGACGAGGTTCGGTTTAGCTAATAGATTTATTGACCACTTACAGTTCGTGACTATTAATAACTATAACATTATCGTTGATTTCCCCACTGAAAATCACTCCATACTGTCTTTTCAATCTTCACTAGTAGTATCCTGGTAACGGATTTATAACTGTCCGATTGTAACTACAGCACGCTACGAAGTCTACTTTGCACAGCCTAATTCATTTCTTGCCAATTCTTCTCGGCCTTCTTCGACTGTGCTGTCTCAAGGGACTCCCTCAATTCTCTTCTACTGCCTATTCTCAACTAATTCGAATCCAGGCTGGCGGCTATTTCTTACCAACCTCCTAGCCTTCCGTTTTCACAGCCCGACTGTCAACTGAGCGCTCACTAACACTGATGTCTCAATTCCTCAACTGAACGGGATCGCCATCTCTTCTCAGTTGCCCTGCCAACTGCCAACACCGGAGGCTCCCTCAATTCTATCTCAACCGAAGTCGAAGTCGAAGTCGAAGTCACATTGCGACTGACGGTCAGTCAGTCAGTAAGTCTTGGTGTCGAGCCCCATCTGGAGCTCATGACCAGATATTTATTACTTTTTAACATTTACGGTCTTGCTTTTGTGGGGCGCCCTCTCTGACGAGAGGGCGGATCTGTCTTCTATATATGCTGCTGTTCCTTGCCAGCGCAGTCTTTCTCGGGTCCGAGTCCCCTGAGACTCGCGACCATATTTTACTGTCTCAGAATTGAGACTTCCCTTTTCGTCACCTCCTACGACTCGCAGGGTGACGGTGGAGGTATTCGACCCCACCTCTGGCCTTGGATCCTCGTTATATAAGCTCGGGTCAGCCCCAACAGGAAATACCGTTTCTTAATAATTACTCTATTGTTACAGGGATGTGTTTACCTCGCCGTTGCATAGAAACGGTAGTTCTTCTATTGTTGTTTGTGTCTTCATTTCCGCAGGAACCTGTTTACTGAGTGGTTGTCTGGCAATGTATATCTACTCTGGCTCCTCTATTCCAGCTTTCAGGCGTCATGTCACATTATAGATATTTATTACTACAAACAATATGGATTAGTTTTGGAGGAAGTTGTGTGTCTGATATCCAGTGATAATAATATGCAGTACACCTATCAATCACAAATGTTTTCTCCTTTTTCAGCACTGAAAAACAAAAAATTATGGTTGAGTGGTATATGGCATATTAGTGTTACGTACAACATGTTGCATAACTTACGAATAAAAATCCAGTGAGAAGCTTCCTGTGACTAAGACGTTATCCTAAAGTAAAAAGTTGTCCCTGTGCTTAACTAATTAAGCACTACGCCATGGAAGCGTAAGGGGATGAAAAGGCTTTATATTTAATTTTATAATTCTATAAATCAGCTTCCAAAACTTTTAGGATGAAATCAATATTTCTAATTAATTAATAATCCTGTTTTTGCCTTTTCTTTCTGATATGTACGATTTCCATTGATATAAATTTATCACATAATTTTCCACTCTCAACAGCTGACGATCAGTTAACAGGGTATCTGATGTACGTGTTTTCTTACATCTCTATCAATGAAAACATATGGTGATCTTGACACGTGTACTACCACTTTTGTACAGTGTACATTATGAGATTCGTAATGAATCTTTTGAAAATATAGCAATATTTATATACCTGAAAAAGAAGTAATTAACAAAAACCTGGAGAGTTGAGTTCTGTCTTCTGGGATATAACTCAGTGCTGTTATTTGAAATTCAACAGACATTTCGGAGGAATATATCGCCTCAATTTTCAGAGTCGAAGAATAAGCCAAGCAAGAAACCAGCTTGAAGAAGGAAGAAAGTTTCTCCGAAATTTCTGCTGACTTTCAACGGAAAACACGGCGCTATATCCCAGAAGACAGAATTCACAACTACCGCTGTGAGAACCTGAAATCCTAGGAACCAAAATTCTATTGACAACTAAGTAAGGCGATATTAAATTCAGGAAATCTTGACATCTTTCAATTTAGAATCTTTTCCTCTCTCCCCACCTCTTATTTAAAATCGTAAAGACCAAATATGCAAGACTATAATTTGTTTTCTATTGGCGTTGAACTTGGTTTCGCGCCCGAAGGGAACAATTCACATTGAAGGCATTGCAATTAGTGTGGTTAGGAGAATGTTTGTAATTATGATAAATGCATTGATAAGAGGCTGGAAGGAATTGAAAATGATAAGTTTTCTAACTTATACTCTTTATCGGGATAGAGCTACGGGCTAGACGACCGAGGTGTCGGTGTTCGCGTCCCGTAGAATCAAGATTCTCTCTCCTCCACTTCGTCCATACCGGCTCTGGGGCCCGCTCAGCCTCATATCCAATGGGTACCGGGGGATCTTTCTCCGAGAGTAAAGCGACAGGAGCGTGAAGCTGACAACTCATCTCCAGCTATTGCCGAGGTAAGAGTACATGGATCTATGCATCCATTCCCCCATACGCCTTAATGGCATAGTGCTTAATTAGATAAGCACAGGGACAACTTTACCTTACTTTACCTTTGTCATATTTTATTAGGATGATTAGACTGAGAAAGTTGAGAAAAGTTGGGGCATGTAGCACGCATAGGAGTAATTGGAAATGCACACGATTTGTTAGTTGAAAAGTCTGAAAGGAAGAGACCACTTATGGGATAATAATAGGTGTAATCAAATATCTTAAAGAAACAGATTATGAGGGTTGGACTGGATTCATCCGTCAGAAGAAAAAAAATTGTGGGGCAGTTGTAGAGGATGCAGAAACCTTTCGTATTCTATGAAAGGCGAGGAGGTTCTTGGCCAGCTAAGCAACTACTGACTTCACAAGAAGGGTTTTACTACGTGAAGTTAGTTGTAACCATACGATGCATATACACCTCACGCACTCGGCTTTAAACAAAGTGAACTTGCAGTCTACAACTCCGATACAGTTCGATCACCCTAATGTCAATGATTTATTTTTTGAGTGAATATATAATAATTATATTTTAAAGAACGTTCAGTGAGACGTGGAGGCAAGCCTCCTTAAATTGTGAAATCTTGGTACTGGAAGCTAAATTCTCTGGCCACTACTCTCAATATCCGTGGCCTGTAGTCCGCAAGCGAACTATACAGACCGAGCGACCGCCGCTTGTCGACAAAGTTAGTGCCAGCTTTTGCGGTTAGAAGGTGTCACGTGGTATACAGCATTTGGGAATTCGAGGACGAATGTTTGTCAACAGTCGCAGTCGCGGTGCAGTCGTACCGCACGCATCGTTTGAAATAACAAACAGTTTGATTTTTACCGCAGTTGTCGTCCGGCAAGCAATAGCAATGGAGGCGCTGATTTCGGAAGTACACGAAAGAAATGCATTGTGGAATAAAAGAAACCCTCATTACAAGGATTGAGTAACTGTCGACAAGGAATGGGACTCTGTAGCTGAAAGTACGGGATATTCAAGTAAGTTTTATATATATATATTGATTCTTACCTTTAATTTTTATTCAATGAAAAGTATTCACAAAAGATGCTTCGCACATTTTCTGCTGCTCTTGATGGACGATTATTCACCCTCGACAGCTGTAAGTTATTGTTTCCTTCTGTCACATTATCTTTCGCTACGTCAATAGAAGGATCTTCTTCCATGTCAATTATAGCATTATGCAAAATGCAAATTGCTTTTACGATATGAACGGCATTTTCTACACTTGTTTCAATAGATTTCAATACAATTCTAAATTTTGCAGAACTTATACTAAAGGCGCACTCTACAGTCATTCTATCACGTGATAAACGGTAATTAAAATATGAGGCAGCTTCATTGTTTTGAACTCGTCTTCCAGGGTAGGGTCTTAATAGATAGGTTCTTAAAGGAAATGCCTCATCTCCTATGAACACAAATGGAGAGTTTTGTTCAAAGTTAGGTAGCTGCTTATCTTTTGGTAAAGGCAAAGAGCCATTTCTGATGTTTTGATGAATAACTGAGTTACAAAATACTCCTGCATCACTGTCTTTTCCATATGCGCCCACATCGACCATTAAAAATCGATATTTTGCATCTACGATTGCCAACAGCACTATTGAAAAAAATTGTTTATAATTGAAAAATATGCTGCCTGATTTAGCTGGACTCTTTAGTCTAATGTGTTTTCCGTCGATACTGCCTAAACAGTTAGGGAAGTTCCATTTTTCGAAATAGTCTTTGGCAACCTTTTTAAAACACTCAACATTAGGCACAGGCATATGCATTTTCTGAAGTGAATTCCAAATGGCCTTGCTAACCTCAATAACTATAGATGCAACAGATGATTTTGATATTCGAAAAGTGAAAGCAATTTGTCTAAATGCAATTCCCGTTGATAGGTACCTGAAACAAAACGAAACAAATATTTGTCTTTCTTTTTCCAGAGGAAGCTGCAAAAAGAAAGGGCGCAATTTACGAGATCAATTTTTAAAAAGCCGGTCACGGTAGCCGAGCGGTCTAAGGCATGCACTGTCTTCGCTCTCTCGGAAGCCGAGATCGTGGGTTCGAATCCCACTCAGGGCATGGATGTTTGTGTGCATTTTTCTGTGTTTATGTACAGATAGAGGCCATACGACGAACTGATCACCCGCCTAAGGAGTCCTACCGTGTGTCTAAGATCTAGAAAAACCGAAGTGAACGGTGAAGTTCATGGAGGTAGACCTAGGCCCACTGGGGCTGTAGTGCCAAGGGGAAAACAATTTAAAAGAGTTTAAAAAATCCCTAAAAGCAAGTCAGGCGATTCCCGAGATTGTGCTGCAACATATCTTGGAAAATGGCATCTACTCTTCTTAAAGGATACAGTAGTCCCAAGAGATACTGAGGGAAATACATCACTGTTAGAGGTATCAGAAGATACGCAGGTCTGTAAGATTGAAAGTGAATTTAATGAAAACGAAGATTGGGAAGAAACTGCTAGTATGGACTCAAACGCAATTGTTTCACTTCCACAAGAAAGTTTGAACGAAATACTAACACCGCCTGTTTCTCAACCAACAGAAAATCCACTATCTTTGTCCAAGGCAACAGTACCTCCTCCACGGAGGAAGAGAGTACGCTAAGATAATATTGAAGTGGAACAGAGATTATCAGACACTGAGGCTAAAAAGCTTGCACTCCTTCAAACACCGGAAGATGAGAATTCTCTCTTTCTGAGATCATTACTGCAATATTTGAAAAGAATGGATCCATTTCAGCAACTACGAGTTAGAACAAAATTTCGAGATATACTGCTGCAAGAAATGTCACAAGACCAATCGAGCAGTTTCCAGACTTCCGGTACAAGTTGCCCTATTATGGGTCCATCTACTGCTGTGTCATCAGTCCAGTCAAACTATTCCAACATTTCTTCACCCACTTCTCCTACCAACTCAGCTTACTCCAATAATCCTCCTTCATTGTCTGATCATAATTGTTATTCGAGTCTTACCGCTTCGCCTCATGGCACAAGTATATTGTAGGCAGAAAGCAATGAATCCAGTAACATGAACCTTTTACCTTTGTAATAATAGACTGTACTCTGAAAATAGTTAAATAAAATATTAGAAATAGAATCGTTACTCAGTTACTTACCTCAAAGTTAGCAAAAGTCTCTCTTCCACAGAAATAGGTCTTTGAAAGTTTGTTGTACAACGATAACAGGAAACATGTATTTCTTCCATAATATTCATTCATTCATCAGTAATCTGTCAGATGACAGGTCCACAGCCTCTTCCAAAACAGTTTCTCCATTTAATGCGATCTTCTGTTTTTGGAAAGAGACTATCCAGGAATAGTGATAATGTGGTAGTTTTTCCATTTGCTTTCCACATCGCAGTACAACAGCCGTTCAAACCACTCTGGTCACGCCTGTTGCTATACGAACTTGAACCATCTCGAGCATCATTTTCTCTGTGCTTCAAGTCGCCGCTGATGACGCTGCTTCCGGCATCAGTTTTCGGTGTCTCTCTTCGTCTGATGCCTACCCTTTGACCTGTCCAGCAAGGGAGGCCCTGCCAGTAGCTACGCTACCGCTGGTATAGCTCTCAGGGTCCTTGGCATACTCAAACACCCTCACCACGATAAGGTGGAGACACCAACGACCATAATAATATAGTCGAAGGTATTTATTGTCATTCTGTTACACTGACGAAATGCTCTTTCATCCACTCGTAACTGAGGGTACAGATGATGAAATTTACCATAAATCTACCTATTCCTATATATTACATGAGTCTGTTGTCTGATACGTCTCTTCTTAAGTTCTTGTAATATTTTCAGTTTTACTAAACTGTTTTCCATTATTAAAATTATACGCGTCAAACTCGAAGCCATTGTTCTACTCGGGAGACTTTTCTACACCTGAATCGGACGCATCGATTACATGCACGCAGTAACATTGGCCACCTCCGATGTCCCTGCAAATATCTGCGATGCGTTAATGCGGTGCGGTGTCCGCATCGCGCGTACTCGCATTCACTTTGGACATGGAGTTACAGGAACATTCCTGTCGTGCAACGAATCCAGTCCTGCCATATACAGGCCACATGGTAAAATTATCCCTGTGCTCAATTAACTAAGCACTACGCCATGAAGGCGTATGGAGCAGCTGCTGTATAGTCCCACATTTTCTTCACTTCGGGACTAGTTGGAGGTGAATGTTCAGCCTCACGTTCCTGCCGCTTTAACCCCGGGAAAAGAGCCCCCAGTACGTATTAGATAGGAGTCTGAGTAGACCCCAGAACCGGTCTGGATGACGTGGAGAAAAAAATTCTTGACCCTACCGGCACTCGAACTCCGACACCTTTGTCGTCACCCCATAACCAGTCGCTATACCGACTACACTATCCCGACTCATACAGATCACATGCCGTAAAGAAGTTGGCGAAGATTTCTAAACTGAAATGTACAATAAGGTATTCGAAGAATTTGTAATTTCCTCACGTTACTGTTTTATTAAAAATACAACTTCTGCTCACATTTTACTACTCTACGATTTGGGGCTACTTTAAGAATAAGCTTTCTGTACTGCGGTTGCAAGGTAATCCACATTCCAGAGTTTCGACTCATGAGATGCTGTGATGCTGAATCCATTAAACCTGATCTGTTCCGAAATGTCTCCATCTGCAAAATCAATAAAACAAAGGGAATGTCTCCAACAAAGTAAAGCCCGAGAGAGGCAGTAGTAATCCGTACGAAGCCAAAAAGAATCAACAGGTTGAACGAAACAATCCACAGTCTGATTCGAGACATTGGTGCTCACGGATCGTACATTGGGGGTGGCTTCGTAGGAGCTTTTCGTGGTTTTGTTGCTTGTATCTGTTATATTTATGCCGCCTCTGTGGTCTAGTGGTCAGAGTTCCTGGCTACAGATCCAGAAGTCCCGGGTTTGATTCCCGGCGCTACCAGTTTTTCTGAGAAGTAGTGGGTCTGGAACGGGGTCCACTCGGCCTCGTGAGGATAATTGAGTAGCTATTTCAAGGAAATAGCTGCTCCGGTCTAGAAAACCGAGATTAACGGCCATGGGGATCTGTTGTGCTGACCACGTGACAACATCTATGCGCAAAAGTTGGCACTAACCTCGCCGACAACTGGCTGTCACTCGGTCGCTATAGTTCGCTTCCGGACTGCAGGCCACGGAGTTTGTTTCTTCCTTTTATCTATTATATTTAACATTTAGCGATTCTGTCCAATTTACGAAGCTTACAGGCCCATGAGGGGGGGCACGCGGTAGCGTAGTTGGTTGAGGCACTATACTGCAAGACGGAAGTTTGCGGATTCGAGTCCCGATGAGGTGGATTTCTTCAATTTACCTAATCCTTCCAGCCGCATTATGGCCCTGAGGTCGATTCAGCCTCTAACAGAAATGAGTACCAGGAATGTTCCTTGGGGGGGGGTAAAGATCGGCCGGCGAGTAAGGCTGACGTCACCACCATATGTGAACCGATTGTCTAGATAATGTGGGACCCTCAAAGTCTCACAACCCTATGGACCTTCATGGCCTATTACAAGGATAGCTTTACCTTTTATTTTCACAGGCCCATGAGGTTGAATGAGAGATGGTTATAACTAATTTTTTATTTATTGTGTTAGATAGCAACGCCATCAACATTTCAGGATCTACCTCGTATAACGATAACTTAATTATATGAATCGTGAATTTGAAAGGTTGTGTAAGGAAACGGTCGTGGTCTAATATAAGTTTCTAGCCCGGAATTTGCCGGAGGGACTTAGGAAAACGACGAAAACCTCAGTCATAGTAACCGGTCTCCGAGTCAAGAGTTCAACCCAGGACCTATTTAATACGAAGCAGGGTTACTAAACACTCGAACCTGACGTTCGGCGATGATGATAGCATATGGTCTAACGTGAAGAAGGAAAAGGAACCAGTAGTGGCCTATTTTATATTACTACCCTATCATTTTCCGAGGTTCTTTGTAATATTCAGTAATAAACTTATTATTTACGGTGAGGAGTTATTAGTCCAACGCCAAACCTCCAAGCTGGAAAGCTGGCAGACTTGTTGGCTGTCCGCGACTTCTTATTTAACATATATATATATATATATATATATATATATTATTTATTTTGTGAGAGCACGAGGAAGCGTAGTTGGTTGAGGCACTATGTTACAAGCCAGAAGTTCGCGGTATCGAATTCCGATGAGGTGGATATCTTCAATTTATCTAATCCTTCCAGCCGCACTATGGCCCTGCGATCGACTCAGCCCCTGACAGAAATGAGTACCAGGAATATTCTTGGGGTAAAGGGCGACCAGGTCGTAAGCCTGACAACCTTACCGCCATCTATGAGCCAACTGTCTAGAAAATATGGGAAACCCAACATCTCAAAACCCTATGGGCCTCCAAGGCCTGTTACAGGGCTACCTTCACTTTTATCATTATTATTATTATTATTTATTTTGTTTGCTTGCTTGTTTTTGTATTGCATGGGTGGGAAATTTGGCTTCTGACATTAAGGGAGGAGCATAGATAGGGTATTTATGAACAGGGTGCTGAGGAGAATATTTGGGTTTAAGAGAGATGAAGTGACGGGAGATATGAGAAAATTACAGATTGAGGAGCTTTATAATTTATACTCTTCGCGAGTATAATTAGAATGAACAAGGCAAGATGATGAGATGGGCAGGGCACGTAGTACGAATGGGGGCGAAGAGGAATGCATGTAGGATATTGGTGGGAAAGCCAGAGGGAAAGAGATCACTAGGAAGACCAAGACATAGGTGGGTGGACAATATAAAAATGGTTCTTAGAGAGATAGAATGGAATGGTATGGATTAGATTGATCTGGCTCGGGATGGGTACCAGTGGAGGGCTCTTGTGAACGCGGTAATGAACCTTCGGGTTCCATAAAATGCTGGAAGTTCTTGAGTAGCTGCACAACTGGCTGCTTCTCAAGAAGGGCTCAGCTCCAAAAGTAAATAAGTAAGTAAGTAAGCAAGTAAGATTAAGTTCGAGGTGTACACAGAAACGTACGTTTTTGCCGAGCACTTCCGTTTCCCCTGCCAATCTTCATTTCAACAAATGCTCCACCATCACCCTCACCTATCATCTGGGGCTGGTACAATAGGCCAGATTTGGCAGCAGTACAAGGGACTTAGTCCCACCCCACCAGCAATAAAAAAAAATATACTTATGTTTACTTAAACATATGTGAACATATGTTTACTTCTAGACCTCGAACTTTTTTTTTTTATTGCTAGTGGGGTGGGACTATGTCCCTTGTACCGAGGCCAGACAGCCCCAGATGATAGGTGAGGGTGATTGTGGNTATATATATATATATATATATATGTATGACTGTACACGCTTTCCATGTGTCTAACGGTCGTATAGATAATGAAACAAACAGAAGCGAAAGTGGCAGGGCTGTTAAATTATGCGTACATTTCGAAACTTGCTAGTCAGGCTAGTCAAGTCGAAGTTGCTACTCATGATCACACACTCTTCAAGTTCAAAGTGTTTTTCTTTCATTGTCTCTAGAAAAAATGCAGAAGTGTGTGGCATGCTGTATCATTACAACTATCTTCAAGTACTATAAACCTTACATTTGCACACAATTAATGCCTTCGGCTCCTGTTTAGAGTCAAGCAAGGAGCATCACGACTGCACAGAAATAGTCCCTCCAGACAAATAAGGAGTTCGGTGAGACTTTTCTTCTAAAGCTTACATTCTTCCGAAATTTACTTTACTTTTATTCCGAGATATTGTTACAAAATTGTTAAGGGCTAATAATGGAATATGTATTTAGTCTGTCAGCCAGGTTTAAATACATTTTAGTAGAATATGTTATAAAATAAATATTCTTTATGCACTACATGAATTAAGATAAACCGATTTCACTGTTGAGAAGAATTTGTGAAATTTGCGTCCGTCTGTTTTTATCGTTTTTTTTCCTCGTATTACATATAATTATACTGATGCTTTAGAGAAATTAAGTGTACAATCTTTACATAAACGGA